AACTATGACTCGTCGAACATAGAGTGTCACATCTCAATTCCTAGACGAACAATTTTTAATGCAAACGTGATTTGTATATGTTATAAAAAATATAAAATTTCCTCATGCTACTCAGTTTGATAGTAAAAAATAATTGTACGTGTCGCGAACGACTGATGTTCTCTGATCAAGTGAATTTTTATGTACAAAAGCGTTCCAATTCCACTTAATTAAGTACGATAATTATTACGTTGTAAAAAAAAAAGGAAATGCTAAATACCTATGCTTATGACTATTATATGATACATATAGGTACGGTCTAGCCAAGAGCTTTTCACTTTCGTATCTACTAACGAACAGTCTTAATCAGAGCCTGATTAACAACTGGCGATTAATTAATATGAAATCGTGCTTAGAATTAAGAATTTTTCTTCTTCGCGTCGCCCGGAGTGATCGGTTTAAGACACGAACGGTATGAGCAAATGACTCTATCGAGGATATAATTACTCGTTACGTAATTACGTTGTTACAATTTTGTTAATTGAACCTGAACAGTTAATTGTTCTCAGTTATTTTTTTATTAACTGATTATTTAGCCGAGTAATGAGAGCCGATGTTCGACGGAGGCCCTCTGTGGTGGTGATGATGCTTCTGGCCTGGACCAGAGTATCTACTGCCAGGTCGGGAGTGGACTATAGCATAATGATCGCTGTTCGTCGATATCGACCTCGTGGAATTCATTGTCGACCCACCGGAAGCGTATCCCTGCTTCCCGTTTAAGGAGTACCTAAAAAATGAGTCATTAGTGACGATGTATTCTTCGACAGTGCGTCAGATTTATTAATAGTCTTCTAACTCAGTTATGACAATCTTCCATTGTGTTTCACAAGTATTTGCTTCACCCTACGTGAATTGCCTTCACTATATCAAATAACTTATACAGGATATCCCAGAAAAAGTGTCTGAACAACAATTTTCTTTAGGTCAACGGCTCAGCCACGGCAGTGGTGGCTCGGACCGTGGCGCTCGGCCATTGGTCAACGCGGGGCCTACGCTCATCCTCATTGGTCACTGTTTTTCGTCAATAATTCAAAAACCATGTCCCACTTTGCATTTTGGCAAAGGAAATTGTTGTTCAGACTTACCCCTTCTCAGTTCTAACCCTTTTTCTGGGGCACTCTGTATATTTTATTTGT